TGTAGTACTGATTTGGTCCCCAGAAGAAGTCCATGGATATTGCTGGGTACTCGGCACTGTCACTGTGTTGTCTTTAGGTATCAATGTGCATTTTGAAGCTGATACTGTGCAGAGTTTCATCAGTTGGCTAGTGTAATTTATACAAACTCTTTAAAAAGCTGTATGAGTGAAGTGATTAAAAATACGTTTATTGCTTTTATGGAACCTCACTTCTCATTCAGAGACCTTTTTCTCTTACTAGGCAAATATTTTTAAGGCATTTGCTGAATTGTTCCAAGTTGCTTCAGCTAAACCTGCACCTCTTGGCATCTGCGACTATCCGTCATCAAGAGCAATATATGCCGTTGACTTGATGCTTAAATGGGACACCAGCAGAGATGGTGAGAAGCTCATTTCTTTGAATGTTGAATTCTTTATATTTGTGGACATTTTCAGAAATTTATTTCTTCTGTCTGAACTCTTACTGTTTTTCAAGCAGTGTGAGCTGTGTGCTCTTTGCCTTCCACTGACATCAAAGCATATCTGGAGTTGCAGATCTGTGGGGTTAGCATCTGCCATGCTGGTTAACAGGAATGATGGGGGAGCTGTTAACTGTGCTTGACTGAGTCCTTGCTTCTCTTGTGTCCCTGCTGCTGCTGTTCTCTGTTTTAAAAACAAACAAACAAAAATGCAGACCACCACAAGCATTAAAAAAACCCAACTGTACAGCAGTCTAGTCACTCTGACAGCAGCAAGTTTTCTTTACCATTTATGGTGAGAGAATGTCTGAAATACCTGTCTCTCTATTAAAGCCTTAAAGAGACACCTTACTATCTGTGGCTTCCAGGCTTGGACCAGTGTCTTCAATGCACAGTTACTTACTAAAGCAGGGAAGGGACCACATTCATCACTTCAGTGCTGTTGATGTCCTCAGGACTGTCACTCAGTTGTTGCCAAGTCTCTGCAAGAACACATAGGTGAGGGTGCTTCATGTTAGTGCCACAGCATGGCTAACTACCTGGAGCCTTTCTTCCAGCCAGTTGTGGAGGACTGGTAACAAAATTTGCCAAACAGGGTGAATTCTTTATTATCTCACCAGGAGGCTCAAAAATGTTCTGTAAGCATGCCCAACCCAGACACGTGTCTCTTGTAGGTAGAAATGCAGCAGAGGCACCAAACCAAAAAGGACTGCCAGGGGAGTATTAAACAGAACTGAGTGTACTCTTGTGCCATTGTGGTCCCTGGAACACAGGAGAAATTAATTGCCTGTGCCCACGTTTGCTGGAGGAGTGATTAGATGTTGTATATGTTGGGTGGGTGCCCCTAGCCCCCTGCTGCAGTGGCTGATTCTGTAAATATTGAATAACTTTGATGGAGGGAAATGATTGGGAAACAGGAGGTGTAGAATTGAGCCTTTACTGTTCAGATCAGGTGGAGCAAGGGTTTGAATTTGGGTGTGCTTACATCCATGTTGAATGCTCTTTCACCTGTCCCAGAGTTGTCTTGAATGGGAGAGGCAAAGCAACTCACTAATATTAGTAGCTTGAGGAAGACTATTGCAGTAAAAGGACCAGCCTCATGTTACAGCCCCGGCTGAACATGAGCTGCATGGGTGCCTAGGCTTTTGAAGATGTGGGTGTGGGTACGAAAGTCACAGCTGTGATGCTGTAGGCAGCCTGTGGACAAACAGATTAGTTGCTTCTGTGCAGAGCAGAGTATGGTTTAACTATGCATCAGAAGCCTGTACCCTCACTTACAATCTCAACACCAGAAAGGAAATAAATTCCTTGGTTTCTGTTTGCACAGAATGCATTTGACTCTGAACTGTACTGATTAAGTTTTAAGAGAAAATTAAACCTCCTGACTTCCTTCTAGGAGTGAGATGAAGTGGCAGGTGGGAGTGTCTGGAGAATAAAGGAACAGGACTGCTAGAACTAGAAAGGTAGATATCCAAGAGCTTTAAGAAAGGAAGGTTTGTGCTGAAAAGTGAAAGGAGAAGCAGAGTTTTCTGGAAGATGTTTCAGACTGTCAAGCAAGACAGCTGTATTGGGGAGATCCTATTGAATTACAGCAAATTCTCCTTCTAAATGAGTCATTGAATTAGCACTGTGATTACAGAATCTGTTGGATAATTGTCTTCTGGATAATGATGGTAGAACAGACCTCTGTCCCTCCAAAAAAACCAAACCCACTGAAATAAAAACACTGTACTGGCTTGCCAGCTTGGGTCATAAGATGGCTTTTTCCAGTCATTTTCTATAATCTCTGGCTTGAAGACAGGTAGTGATTCAGGATCTCTATAGAGCCTTGTATTAAGAGGCAATGTTTGTGTTCTCCTTTACAGGGAAAAGAATTATGCAGCCTCAGATCCTGGAGGTGAACTTTAATCCTGACTGTGATAGAGCCTGCAAATACCACCCTACCTTTTTTAATGATGTCTTCAGCACCCTGTTTCTGGATGAAACGGACAGCTGCCATGTGACATGCATTGTCTAGCCACAGGAGGCTTGACTCTATTATTTCCTTCCCAGATATGCTTAACAGCAAGATTTATATTTCAGTTCTATGAGCTGCTGATGCAACTATTTTCCTATACTGGTAACCCAGGAAAAAAAAATTCATATCAGAAGAATATGCATATACTATATACTGTATTGATAATCATTTTGTCTGCATTTTCCTTGTCTTGCTTAGTTCTATAAATCATCAGTTTGTGTTGACCAAATGTCTTGTTTATTGAATATGGGAGACCTCAAAATAGGACAGTAACTGGAGCAATTGACTTGTTTTTCAGGTAGCCTGATTGCTTGCTTGCTGGGAAACATTGCACAAGTTCCTCATGTCAACATTAAAACTATAATTTACTGAATCATATTGGAGTTTGTATATCTCTTTCTTAATCTTTCCCTCTTATTCAAAGATCTAAAATGTCTGATGGGAAAATAATATGGTATTTCAGTGCAATGAACTACTAGGGTAGTGAGAGTAACGATTTGGTGGCTCTTCTCATTTTTCTTGTTTAAAAAAAGGCAAACAAAACCCACAACATTTAGGAACCCTCTACTGCTGGCTGTCATCCTTAGCCTGCCCCTTAAAGAAACTAGAGTTTTTCAGAAGTGGTCAGGCAGGAATTGAGAAGGATGCAATGTCTAGCGCAGCACAGGAAAGCAGGAGCAGCCTGAAGGAATGAAAAGGATCTGGGAAACTCTGCCAGAAGCCCAAACAATCTTTGGACTTCAAAGTTTAGGGCTTAAGATAGAGGTATTTGAGAGTGGGGTGTCAGTTTGAAATTTCTTATTCCTAATCTCTTGTCCCTTCTCACATCAGGGTAACTGGCTGAAACTTAGCAATTTTAGGCTCTATTTATGTTGCTTTGTATGCATGTACAAGTTGCAAAAATTCTGCTGTCTGTCATGAAGTATACATTATGTGGGTAGTATTTTTTTAAGCTAGTTGCAGCAATCAGGATCTGTTTGAGAGCGAAGTACACTTACAAAATTCTGTAAGTGTTCTAAACCTTGCTTCAAGCTTTGCAAATATGCAAAATTATCTCTCATAATTGGGAAGGCATAGGGATATTTTAGACTATATCAGGCTGGTCTGCAGAAACCTACTTCTTCCCACTGACTAGGACATAGGCTGGAGAAATAAACCATCTGTGTCTTATGAAAATTCAGTCACTGCACAGGTGGGGCAGAAGGGAGAGCTGGTTTGCACAGCCAGAAGTGGTGCTGACAGCTGTATCAGTCTCCTCAGGAGTCAGAACTCTTTTGGACTCCTTGCTTAAATCTGATTAAAGAAACATGGTGAAGTGCTTAACATAGATGGTGTGACTTCTTCTGATGCAGGGAAAGTTTGTCTCTACAGAATATAGTAACGGGTGCTCAAGACTGGACATAAGGGGACATGCAGTGCTGCTCAGTGGATGTATTTGTGACTTGTAGGAGAGCAAAAGGCACTTTCTGCCTTCAGAGTACCTGAAAACATGTAACAAAATGCCTGTGGATCTAGAGTAAAGGGGAAGGTTTCCCTCATCATAAAGGGAAAAGTGATGTCACACTTAGCAAACCAGAATAATGACTTCAAAAAAAGTAGTAGGATTTGTGCAGTGGGACCATAAGCTGTGAGCAAAAATAGTCTGCTGTTGTGCTCTTAGACAAAAGAGATGGTTTTATCTTACGGGAAGCAACTGGTTGAACCAAGCATCCCAGATCTTACTACATCAGCTACCATAACCCTGAAGAGGAGAAACCCTGGTTTCTATTTCTAAGCAGCTAAAGCGAGAAGGTGCAGGTAGGAGACACTAGTAGCCATGGTGTATCTACTGCCCCGCTGGGCAACAGACCCACCCGTGGCCTGGCTGCTGGCTCTGCTGTCAAGGTCTAGTGGTAAACTGGCATCACACTGAGGGTCCAGGTAGAGTATGTTAGTGCTGTTTGGCCAGTGCTGCTGGTGGTGCCTCAGAGGTGTGTGCAGGGGGTTGCTGAATATTTGGGTCCTCTCAGTTTCTGTCCAGGTGCTCTGAATTTCCTGTTTTGTCTTGCCCATTGCAATGGTGAGAAGAGATGAAGGGGCTATCTTTGAGGCTATAACATCCTGCTGCCTTCAGTATTTTTCTGCTCAGAACATTTTAAAAATAGAGGGACAAGGTTAATAAGTTTACATGTAGTTTAATGCATTTAGCTGACACTAGATTGTACAGTTCTTCAAAGTAGGAAGGCACAAATTGTGAAAAAGATGTTGTCTTAAACATTTCCAGAGTACAATGACCAGAAGATAAGTATCTGGCAGCTGTAGTGGGGCACATCATAGTACTAAAGCCCTGTGTCTAGTGGTAAACATGAAAGATTCAGGCCGCAATCATGCCTGTCACTGTTAGGAGCAGCTTTCTGGGAGCTGTGTTAATACATGACTGGATTTCTTTCTCTGAACATAATGAAGTTGAAGTTCATGCTTATTTTTGGCAAGCGTTAAATTGCTGTTGTCATATAAAATATAATGCTGTAATATAGAAAACTAGTACTTTTCAATCAGCACTATCTTTCAGTTTGCTATAAAACCCAGTCAGGCATACACCCCTTTGTGACTTGCCTAGTAAAGGCATATTTGTTTTAAAGAAGTACTGCTTTATCAACTTGTAATTAGCAACTAACGGTATAAGTAGTTCAGCTAAAAATAAAATAAGGCCATAACTTTATTTAGAAAATTCTTCTGGGGAAAAAAAAATATCTTTTTGGCTGAAAACTTTATTCAGATTGTTTCTTGTTGTGATTGTCCTTCCAGATACGGTAATTAAGTGCAGAAGCCATGGTTAGCCAAGCTAAATAAGGAACCATCAAATAAGCTGCTGTTTTGTTGATGTTATACCAGGAAGCAGTTGTAGCTGTTGCCATACCAGTTGTGAGCAGAAGAGTCACCAACCCCTGAAACACAGGAAGGTGGTTAGTGTTGTTTTTATTTGTTGCATTTTCTTGACTAGATAGTCTTTGTGTGGCTCTTTCCACTTAGCTCTGGCACTTGTTGGATCCCTCTGTGAGTTAATTCCTTCTCAGAAAATGAGCCAGCAAAAAAAAAGTTATCTGCTGAGTTATGTGTCAATTCAACTCATAAAATGATACAACAGCCACAAGAAAGGGCATTGCAGCTGGGAGCAAGAGAGTGAGAATAAAACCCCTCTCACCCATACCCTCTTTTTTGGCAGCAGGAAGTGTTATGTTAGACTACAAACCCAGTGTGACTTTGAGCAAGTCACTTAGCTAAGTAAACTTACCCAGTCTTTTCATGTCATAGATGCTGCCTGAAGAGATGCGGTGTGAATGAATCAAAGATGGATTGCAAAGCCTTCCACTATTACAGCATTGCATGTATATTTAGAGAACCAGGCAAATATATTTTTTTTTATTATTATTGATTCTTAGTTTTAAGGCAAGCTGTTTCTCTTCAGACTGCAGAAAATTAGTCTAAAATGGGTGCTGATTACCTGAGTAATGTTATGATAAGCTGCTTATCACTGCTGTTTGCCAGATACCTAGGAATTTTAGTAAGGCATAAACGATTATATTTTCTAGTCACACGGAGCTCTTATCAAAGGGTAGCAGAAAGAGCTTCTTGAAATCTAAACATTTAAGGATGTTGCAAGATATGTAAATTCTCTCAGGTGGCTGCCAGCATGCATTAAAGAGAATTTTAGAAAACTTCTGCAAGCCATATTTTGTGCTCAGGCTCATTTTCAGGGAGAAAAGATTACGACATAAAACTTTCATCTTAGCATCTTGCAAATGACAGCAGAAGCCTATGATTAAGAAACTTACTTTTCCACTTACCCATCCCATTTTGTGAGCTCCAAAAAATACTGGAGTCCATGCCCAGTTTAATGCCAGCTGCCCTGCATACAGACCCAGAGGAACCACCGACTCTTCACTGAAGCCCCCCAATTCCTTCCATACCAGGTAGGAGCCAAATCTGGAGAAAGCAAATGGAAGGTGTTATTCAGTACAATGGTTAGAAAGCAACCACACATTCTTGATCAAATGAAATTACTTCAGTGCTAGGGTCTAGATTCATTTGGAAGAGTAGATATCCAGGCATTACTTGGCAGAGTAACTGATGGCATGGGGTTGATCACCTGCTGCGGATAGCAATATGCAGACAAAAATTCCCTATCCTGCCAGAGTTCTCACTTCCAGGTGCAGAGGAGCAGATGACCTACTGCATTTCAGTCTTAAAAAAGAATGCCATGTTGAGATGGAAGCAGGTCTAAGGTGAAAGGGTAAGAGGTAAGTCTCTAATAGTAAAGAAACTCTTAATCTTGGTACTGGGAGATGGTGCTTTAAAAATAAATTAAGGAAAAAAAAAAAAAACAACCACAAAACCAAACCCACAACCCAATAACTTTTTAACTGGATGAAATGAATACAGGAGAAGTAGCAATTGAGTGTCATCCCAAAGCATAGGTGAGTATGGGGATGGATGGTGATAGAGCAGGAGGAACCCTTTAGTCAGTTTTCAGAAGGAAGGGGATGAAGATGGGGACAACAAAGATTTTAGGAGTTCTGTGGAAAGAATTAGCCACAAGGAGGATCCAGCACCCTTCCTGTCTGCAGGATCCTGGCTACTGAAAGACACTCCAAAAATATTTTGAAGGTTTTGAACAGACTTTCTTAATGCCACAGAAGAACAGTTCACTGGAAGGATCCCAGAATGTAAGCTGCTAAAGACAGGAATTCTCAGGATTTGGGAGATTTACTAATGTAAGGTTTATTCTTGTACTGAGGGAGCCTGATTAGAATGGAGAGCATTCATCACCTGAGACTATTTCTTTTGCTCTTGTTTGACTTTCCCTTTAGACATTAGCTAGATTTCAGTCCAGATGACTGCACAGCCATTCCAAGTGACTACAGTAGAATCCCCTGGATAAAATGCCAACATTTGGAATTATACCTTTGTTTCAGAATTAGTAACTGAGTACTGACTGATTCCATCCTGGTAGGAAAGTCAGCTGGACTGTGCACCGTACTGAACAGCAGGGGGCTTATACGTGTTTCTGCTGGCAGAGCAACTTGTGGTTTTTTTTTTTTAGGAGCAGACAAACATCCAGAGGAGTAATTGCAAGGAGTTTATCTTCATTTGTGGATCATACAGGAAGGGTTTTGTTTTTCCTCTTTAACCCAGTTAGTGACCCAAGCTTGCTTCTTGGCCATTACTTTCATAAGGACTGAACAATACAGCTTTATCTTGGCAGTTTGATTGCAGAGAGTATTAAAAAAAAAAAGAAAGGAGGGACAAGGTAAGCATTAGAAACTTAACAGTTTATCTTTGTAAAAGGCATCAGGACCCAAATCTGTTCCTAAGTGATTTACAGAGCCACAGTGTGGACTTACAGTTGTTTGTACATCTAACTTTGACTTCAGACCAAAATCATGATGTACAAATCTGCTAGGAAGCTAAATGTCAAGAAAGACATGTAAGCTTATTAAATCTTCCTTTTAGTTATTTCTTGATTTTAATATATTCAAGAGATTCTAAAGGAATGAGATGTCTTGATCATTCCAGGAATGCGTGCACATGATGGATTACAGAAGAAAAGGCCTGGTAATAAATATGATCTTTTCACTGAGCTAGATGTATAGTACATAACCAGGACCATCCACCTCAGAATATACTGATTCTGATATTATCAAAGTAAGTGATAAGCTGTCACAACTGGGATTTTTTAAATATTAACTTTATATCCAGGTTTATGATGAGGAATCCAGAAACAGAGTTAAAATTGTGCAGTCAGCTTGAAGGAAGCCTTTCTATGGGAAAGCCACTCGGGTCTCATCTCTTTGATAGAAGGAACTTTTTTATTCACAGGACAGTACTGATCTGATTCAAATGCTAACTCTTGGAATATATGAGTAGAGACCAATTTTTAGAAGTACCCTCTAAGAGGAGAAATAGAATACTGATGGGAAAGGAGGGACAGTACATGAGGCTATAAAAATTACAAAGCTTTTCTGGAAAGAGAAAGAAACCAAAATGAGAGAATGTGTGAGAGCCAGTTTAACATTCAGATAGTTTCAGATATTGCATCATTGCTGTATTTTGCAACAGGTGGTGTAGTATTTAAGATAACCTGCAGGATGACTATGTAATGTTAACTTGGAAAAGATTTGGTCTCTTTGAAACTTTATGTAGTTAAGCCAGTGCTAGATACAAATCACTTAGCAACAATGTGTATTTGATAGCTAGGAAAAAATCGTGCTGAATCCTGGTATGTAGCTAGTTCTTAATGACCAAGTGCAGAAGAGACACAAAGCATCAGGTCCTGCTTGGGGGCTGCACTGACCTCTGTTGAGGCTCTAGGAGCAGAGTGCTCCCTCTCCTCTGTGGCACAGCTCACTGGAGTTAACATAAAAGGACGTAATGTTGGGTGGACAGCTTCTAGAGCAGTCTGTGAGGAGTATCGAAATTGCCCAGACCATCTCCTGAGACAACCTACCTTTATAAGTATTTTTGCTACATCTTATTAAAAGTAACAGCTGGCAAAATAGAGTATTATTAAACCTTTAAGGTTCCTGTGGGAATGGTATTTGGCCTTGTGATTCCTTGTTCATTTGACAGTAATAGCTGTGCTGTCACATATTTTAAACTAGTTAAGTAAGGAGACAGTAGATGGCTTCAAACATTTACAGTTTAACAGCCTGGCAGATTTATTTGAAAGGACATGTATGTTTTGATTTTGGTTTCTTTTAATTGAATTCTGTTAGAATGGTTCTATCCAAATTCTTTCCCCTGCCCCCCCTCCCCTTTTATTTTCCTAAAGCTACTGAAGGACATACATAGAAGAAATCCTAGTACTGCCTTGCTCCATCGCTGCCAGCTTGGAAGGTCTTCCCCTCAGAATGAATGAGGAAAGGAAATTAATGGCAGCTTTTCAAACTCCTACTTTTGATGTGGATACTTGTGCATACAAAATGTCCTATCAAACCCACACACAACTCCCAAAACGTGTTTTTACCTGTTAAACAGGCAGCTTGACAGTTTCTTACAAACACACAGCCCAGCAATACAATAAGCAACTTTGAGATCAGATAAGTGCTTTAATACAATGTGAAAAACATACCCCATAGATGTATAGAGAGTTCCCCAAACAGGAGCAAACACCCAGTTAGGTGGACACCAGGATGGCTTCTGTAGAGATTCATACCACACTGGGATTTCCTTTTTGGTTACCTTGCTTCCTAAAAATCCTCCTGCATGGGGCAGGAGTGTGAAACCCACTGCTGGGACCCAGGCTGGTACCACTTCCATTGAGACAGTGAATCTGAAACAAACCCAAACATGTTGATTGGTAGAGCAATTTTAAAATGCAACTACAAAACTTTTCCATTTTTAGCACATTTTTTAAATCTACATGAGTAGGATCTGATCCACAGCCTAGTCTTGTCACTGAGAAAGACTGCAGCTGAAATAAATGGATCTTGTACCAGGTTCACTGGACAATACTCACCCCCATAAAGGAGCCTAGCATTTACACTGGGGGGAGGTGGGGAAGTGAGGTGTTACTTCCCTCTCAGCTTTGTGCACTAAGATTACTGAATTTTACCTACATAAATACCCTCACCCATAAGTATGCCAGAGGAATAAAGCAGTTTGATATTATACGAACTGCACTTGGGGGGCGGGGGGGAAATTGCACCAAGAAGCATGTATTTCTGTATTCACCAAAAAGCCCATTCACTCAATGCAATGGCATAGTCAAGAGTAAGAAAAGAGTGTGTGCTTTCCTGTGCTCGAGCAAAATAATTGTATATGTTGCGTTGCATTTTTAGCCTCAAAAGGGTGCTGAAGATGCTCAGTGGCTAATAAGTGATGTGAATTAGTAGCAGACACTTGAGAAGCTGCCTCAGAAAATAAACACCAGGGAGGAAAATGAGAAGCTAAGTCCTTAAATGATGTTTTGCTAAACAAGGAAGGACATCTCAGTGGATAAATGGGGAGTACACCTGTGGCTTCTTCATGAAGCATTCAATCAATCAGTTGCAGCAATCTTAGCTGCCAAGCCCATAAAGTGTACTGGATTAAATTTGCCTACAGAAGTGAGACTAAGTAATGCCTTGTTCTGGTAGGCTGCGCTGCTTTTGTTAGAGTACAGGCAGCAGTAAAAAAAGTAAGCAAGTAAGCAGGAAAAAGCTTCATTGCAGATTTTCTAGCCAAAAGCCAAATGCTACAGAAGAGCTGTGTTTAGCTTGCTAAAATGTAAATAGATTAAAGGTATGATAAAAAAGGGCAGAACCAAAATGCGTTATTTTTTCAAAGATACAGTAGGCAAATACACCCAATTCCTGTTCATCTGTTATGCAGGAGGGGTAGACAGCATGAAGGAATCATAAGAGTACAGCAGTGGGGAAAGAGCAACTGTGGAAGCCTCAGGAGGGAAAATAAAATTTTAGAGCAACCAGCATTTCAGAGGCTTGTCAAAGTGTCCTATTGACTTGGTGGCTGTTGTCTTGGCCTATGTTTAAAAGTTTTTATTGCTATAGTTATGACTGCTGGGATGAGGAGGCAGGGAGTGGGGAAGAGGAAATCCCACTTGTAACAGATGTGCTTGAACTGATAGGAAATGGCGCACAGATGACGTTGCATTGTCGCAGTTCTGCTGGTACAGGGAATTTCTGTTTGGAGAACAGGTATAAGCTTGGCCAGCAAGGAAGCTCTCTTGCATTATGTTTTTTGTCCCTGTACTCAGGGCTCTGCCCATACAGTTATGCAGATTTAATGAAGAGATTTCAGTGGCTGGGACCACAAGCCAGATTACATGGGATCAAGAAAAATCTTGGTGATAGAAGCCAAGCAGAATTTTGAAGGCAAAACAGAGAGCATGGAGAGACTGGTAAAGCATGCAGGATTAGAAAGTTTACAAGGAGTAAACAAGAAAGGGCATGTAGGCTGCAAGGGCTGTGGGCATGCCTTAAGGGAGAGTCGTGGGAGGGCATAAATAGGAATGCACACAAAAAAGGCAGCAAAGTGGTACAACAGTCAAAGTCAAAAACAAGAACAAAAGAATGAACGAGTGAAAGAAAAACTAAGTAGGGAAGAATTCAGAACTAAGGTTGGGAGCAGAAGTGGGAGAACAATGTGCTAGTCTGCTGGAATAGTATCAATTAGGTCTTGGGTAGAGGTCTGACAACAAGGAAGAGGGGGGAAAATCTGCATAGCTCACTGCTGTAGTCATTGCTGCCATACTTCCTGTCTAATGGATTCTACTTGCTGTTTACCAGCCACCATCTTCAATGGAGGAAAGGAGTTAACATGTTCTCCTGTGCCTAGATCTGTATTTTTACTTTCCTGACAGAGCATACACTGCTTGCCACCCGTATTGACAGCATGAAAAGCTCTGCTTTTACTGGGATATGAAGGAGTTGCTACGTGCAGGAGCAACAAGGTGTAATGGGAACAAGAGCTCCAAGGGCAATGATTCTTTTTGGTTGCCTTAACCCAAAGGTTAAGTTAAAAATTTAAAGTTACTAAGATCTCATTAATTCTTAACCCTGTCACTCTTGCTTTGTCTACAGAGAGAACACTAGGCTTAGTTCTCTACAAGTGCTGTAAAGTGTTGGTCATCTGTGCAGCTCCAGTGTGGCTGTCAAATGCTAGGGGTTTTTTTTTTTTTAAGTGATAAGCAAGGACCCAAAGGGGTTTACGCTTTATTTGGACATAACAATATCAGGGTGGCTTCCTGCAGGTATTAAGCAACTGGACGTTGTCAGAGGTTCTGTCAGCTTCCCCCCAGGGAAGAAAGTCTGAAAGCATTCTGCAAGCTGAAAGTGCTAAATGCTATCAAATTGGAAAAATACTGCTCTGCTGCAGTCATTAGTGAATAAATGACGTAGCTCCACATTTGTCCCTTGGCGTGTTGGAGGAAGAACACTGGATTCTTAAGTGACAAGAGAAAGAAAATCAGGCAGGCAAATGGAAATGGGGAAGGCACAAATTAAAGACACAGGCAAAGTGAAGCTGTACATGAACAGGAAAGGGGAAGAAATAGAAGTGAAGAGATTGAACATACTGGCTTGAATTAAATGTTGGTGTCGCAGTCTTCTGACTACTATTACTACTAATTATATACTATGTTTTCCAATAGTATTTCTCAGGACTTCCTGAGCATGGCAAAATACTCTCTCTTGCATAGTACCAAGGAGAAAGAGGAATGAAGCAATGCAGCAAGATCAGAATGTGCTGGTAGGCTTGGCCTAGTAGACCACAACTGTCCATCAGCAGTGGGAGTTCCTGTATTTTAATTCCCCAAAAATGAAATACTAGTATCAATTTCCCATAAAAAGCAGTAGCTAACTCAGGGAACAGCACTAGCTGATTCTTGAAGAAGCCATATCCATCTTCCTCTGGTTACTTGGTATAGGTCTTTAGTGAGAGAGTAAGTAAAAGGCAAGGATGCACCGGAGACTTGGTGCATTTGGTCAGTGCTGTAGCGTGTTTGGTTAGCTGTGCAGCACCAGATCTGTGTGAAGTTTATAGAATGCCCGGTACATTTTTTGAAAGTAATCCAATTAAAGAGTATATAAACAGTTATCAGCCCTGACTTCCTTTTAGTGTATAGCTGATAATCCTGAAATTACTTGGTAATAACTTACATAGCACAGGCTTGCAATTGCTAACACAGCCCCTCTGGCTGCATCTGTATTACACAACCTAGAAATAATTACTACTTTCTCAATCATATCCCAGGTCCACTTAAGGGTGAGATCTGGTTGCATGATATTCTTGCACCCCGATTTTCATACTGAAGAAACCTGGATGCCTGTGGATGGTATCTGCAGCATGCCCAGCAGATTATCTGCCTCTAAGAACCACAACAGTTGGGAATCTTTTCCTCCCACACACACTTAACTTGTTTATTTCTGTTTCCACTCTTTATCTGTCCCCTGCAACATTTTCTTCATCATCCTGCCCATTTTATGTTAGCCCTAGTCTGACTTCAGGCAGTTTCAGCAGTGCACTGAGGCCTGCAGCAGGCCAGTTTGTTTTACAAACACGTTAAAATAATTTTTCTAGGTATTCAAAACATCTGTCTTGCCCAAAGCTGGTTCCAGCTACATAAAGTAAAAGGAGAAATAAAGGGGCAACCCCCTCCCCCCCAATACTACAACTTGCTGCTTAATGGCCTTCTGTCTTTTTGCAGGTTGTTTCTCTATGGTGGTGTAACATGCAGAAAAACAAACAGAAGCTTTCTGGGTTCTCTTATTTCTCGAAAAACACTGCACACCCAAAGAAAGGGATGTGGTGCACTATGGGTGGGACTAGGTATATCATGACAGAGGAGCTGGCTTGCTTCAGCCTGATGAAAAATGAACTACTTTGCTTTGAGCAGGTCTCGGAAAGGCAGGTGGGTCCCTTTCCCTTCTCCAGGCACTGCCAGGGACAGCTCAGTCAGCAGGAAGGAGAAAGAAGGACAATGACTTTCACTGCATTTTCTTGTATCCCTGTGCTGATAAACCTCTGACTAATCCCTTTCTTGTGCAACTTAGTGCTGGCTACCCAATCACATGGGGCTTAAATTATAGCTATTGCATTAAAAACATGAAGGAAAATCTCTCAGCAGGGCTAAATCACCCACGCGGTTTTGGGGTTTCTAGTCCCCGCTGTTTTGGGGTAGACTGACAAAGCTGTGAGCATACTATTGACGGGGTGTCCCTAAAACATACTCTCTCTCTCATCCTCTACAGTGTATTTTTTTGAGGGCAGATAAGGTTCTACCCAGGTCTGAGAGGCAGCATGCAAATTTCTCCTGGGGCTTCTTCCCAAGATAGCTGTCTGAAGAATTAAGGGGTACATACTTAATTTATATTGATAAACTATTTATGTTTGTTGTGGCTTTAACTCCTGGGAAACCACAACACTGAAAGTTATATCACAGTCTGTGACAGAGAATACGGCTACCAGGAAAAAAGCAGTCTTATCTTTGTTATCTAATCTCAAGTAATAAGAGAAACTTAAAATTATATATACTACATAAATAGCTAACAAGTAAGTGTATAATATATGCTTATAATATGTATTTATAACTAAAAATAAAAATTGTATTTATTTAAGGATGCGAGGTATACTCATCAGGTTTAGAGACAACAAATCTCACTGCCTAGGTTACACTTCTTTTAAAATGGCAGAGCTCAAGTTGTGCAAATAAATCTATATTTATTGAAGATTTATATACAGGGAACTGAAATGTACACTAGAACAAAATCTTCCCAGGTGATAAATTGCCATTTACTGCTCAATCTCTTCTACTTTTCCCTATGTGTGTTTGTATAAAATCCCCTGGACACAGTGTAAAGACCTAACATTCCTTTGACTACCTTCCCTCTAAACAGCTACCCAACATCCTGCTGTAGGTTTTTCTTCTTGTTTGTCCACCCACTTGGAAAGTGCCATCCATATCTATTCTTTAAAAATTGGAGTTTCTCTTGGATATTTCTAGTTTCCAGGCCTGACTCTGTTCAGCTTGCCAGGTATTCTCTGAGCAGAGTAAAACATACCAGAAGCACCACATCCAAGGGATGCTTTAATAGCAGTGGGACATTCATGGGGCATCACCAGTGGTAAGCCTCAAGTGCTTTACAAGTGGTCTGTGCCCTTTACAGCGAACCAAAGACAAAATGGTAGTGCTGAGGTGCGCTCACACCCTTGTGTTACTACCTGGGCTGCTGTGGTGCTTTGCAGGAACCGTAGTCTGCCCTGGGCTGTGCCACTGAAGGCATCAGACGTGTAGGTCACAAGCGTGACTCTTCCCAGGGCTTGACAGGTGTCTGGTAGGGTGAACTCTAAGCTGGTGGCCCAGTGCAAAAGGGGTGTCCCTTGCTGTCGGGGCTCCTGGGGCAGCCGGTAGTAAGGGTGCCTAAAAGCTCTAGCACACAAGCTAAACACAGGGTGAGCTGCAGTTACTCTCAGAATTCTCACTGAGGTACTACCTCAGATGGCCCAGCTCATAACTTGCCACCCAGTGTCTCCTCTTGGCTTAGCACACGATGTATTACTGCTTAAGTTATGGGCAGAGGCAGCCATGGAGCGTGATATAGTCATATACATGTCATATATATCCTATATTACTGCCTATATATTTCAGCTACCTTGAGAAGGTCACTGGCTTTTTCAGGTATTTTACCTGGAGACTGGCAAAAACGGAGGAAATCATCTTATGAAGCAACATAGGATAGAGATTAGAAAAGTGAGCAAAATCTGCTCACCGTGATCCTTTTGAATCGGCCTGAATAAAAAGTCAACAGAATTTCTTGCTATTTTGATCCATTTTCCTTCTGCCGAGTTATACTAACACAATCTCTTTTACTGAGCTGCTCTGTGAAGTCTGACTCACTGCTTGACACTGTTTCGTAACCTTCAGTGATGCCAAGTCGTTGCACAACTGCAACTCTGGCATGGCAACTTTCACTTTTTTTTTTTTTTAAATCCTGCCATTAAATGCTCAAGTTAGTAAAGTGCGTTTTGTGCTGATTTATAAGCATTACTGGGAAATCCAGAAGGAAAAAAACCCAAGCCCTTTCCTTCGCCCTTGAAGAAATGTCCAATTAAAAGCAAATTACAGTGCCACTGCAAGAAAATACCTCTAGTTAAACAGCATCCTGAGATAACCTTCACACGAGTGCAGAGGGTAGATGCGGGCTGTGCAGAAGGCAGAACTGCAGGTCCCCCTGAGACCAGAGGAACGGGACCGTGGTAGCTGCGCTTCGCTCGCCCTGCTCGACCGAGAGCTGCGAAGCCGCGTGCGTGGACAGCTGGGAACGACTGCGAAACTCACGCAAACCCAAAATTATTAATCATCTGCTTCCTCGCTTTCTTCCCTTTTTTTTTAAAAAAAAAGTCACCTTCCATGCCAAATACCGGCACGGAAAAGCAGCCGGTGTTTGCCTGGCGAAATCCCCTCCGCCCGCGGCCCGGCCCGTCCCCGCCCCGCCCGGGAGGGAGCA